ACAGTGCGGTTGGCCCAGGATAGAGTGGGGTTTAGGGCTGTTGTGCATAGGGTCGCTATGAGTCGCAAATGACTCGACAGCACATAACAACAACAAATTTACTAGAGAAATAGATGGTTCCTGGGGATGTGTCAAATGAGACTATTTTCAAGGCTGAATTTAATAAGAAAAATTAAAATGTAAAGTTACCAAAAAAAGTGGACAAAGGTGAGATAGTCAGCTCCAGTAGAATTTTAAATGTACAGCCTCAGAAACCATATGGAACAGTACTATTCTGTTCTACAAGGTCACAGAATCCATTCAACAACAGTGGGTATTTTTGTATGATTATATAATATTGGTAATTTCCCATAGCCCATATATGTGACAGAAGTTAACAGTCGCAAGCAGGTGGGACAAAATATAAAATATAAGAATCTCACAACCACAGGTAGTTGCTGTTAGGTGCTGTTGCGTCAAGTACGACCCATAGAGACCCTATGAACAGCAGATCTGACCCCTATCCTATCCTGTGCCATCCTCACGATTTCTGACACACTTGAATCAGCTGCCGCAGCCACTGGGCCAACCCACTTCACTGAGGGTCTTCTACTCTTTGACTGACCCTCTTCTGTTCCAAGGGCAATGTCCCTCTCCAAAGAATACCGTCTCCTAGCAACATGCCTAAAGTATGTGAGTCGAAGCTTTAACTTCTTTTCCTTAAAAGAGCACTCTGATCGCACTTTCTCTAACCATGAGTGGGAAGGACAATATAAAACAACAGAACCACACAAATCACAACGTGGTAACTGGAGATAAAAAATCATCTACTGAGACCAAGTGCTACCTCACAGTATCTTGTCTTAAAAATACACAAAAATGCATATTTGAAATAATGGTCACAATAAAGGAGATATATCAGCTACAGGTAAAAAAAAAAAATACTGGGTAAGAAATATGGAAATTAAATAAGCAAATGACACAAACATAGCAAAGCCCAAAGTACTTCAGAAAATTCTTCTCTATTACATGAATTAGCAAAAAGACCAGCACAAGAAGATCTCACTTTGCCACTTTTATAGTGCTCTTTTCATCTAATCCATTCTTGGGATCATTACAAGATACTTTGTTCTTAACTTTCAGGTAAGTGGAAGAAGACTAGAGGAAGGAGAAATCCTAAAAATAAAAAGCTAAACTCAGGGCTAGATGCCTCTTGGTTTAGTCAATCAGGACCTGGTGGGTGGGCCTTTGTATTTAAAAAGTTGGTTGGGCCCTCGGGCCAGGTCTTAATTGTGTTTGAGGGGAACATTGTTCTAAATGGTACAGCACTGGTCTGTCAGTTTGCTGAACAGAGATAACTTGAGGTTGCTGTGATACTGATTGCTATGCCACTGGTGTGTTAAAAATGCCATAATGGTTATCCACAGTGGACAGTGTTTGGAAGAGCGCCCAGATTAAGACAGGTTTATAAGAAGGACTGGCATCCACTTCTTAAACAACAGGCCTTTGGAAACTATGATCATTAGAGAAACGATAATAGTTCTATAAAACAGGTTTCAGATCTTTGGGTCATAGGGTCACTATGAGTCATCTCTACTAAATGTTACTTAACAACAACAACAATAACTGCAGCAGCAGCAGCAACGACAATGATCAGAATCAGCCAAGACTCATATTTGTCCTCCTCTATCATAAAACTGGTCTGTTCAACAACTATTGTTGTGTACAGAGTCAGCTGACCTTTCACCTGGTTTTCAGAGGCAGTTAATCTCACAGGAAGAGACTGCTCATCTTTCTCTGATGGAGGAGCTGGGTCAAAGCATGCACCTTTGAACTGGCAGCAAATTCCTTACCTCTAGTCACCAGAGCTTCCTAGTCCAACTATTATAATAAATTAACTAAGCACCCAACACTCTATACAAGAATGAGCTATTAAACAAGTGTTCCTTAAAGATATAAACATAATCATAACAAGAAAATAGTTCCTGTTAATTCTAAAATCACTGCCAGTTTTATACCTGATGTGGATAAGCATCGCCTGAGCCCATTTGTCTTTTGTTCTGATCAAAAATAATCCACAGCTGGCTGTCAAATTCTGATTCATATAACAATTCACAAAGTAGTGGGCAGCTTGGAGTTACCTCTCCACTCTTGGGCTATTAAAAGATAAAAAAAGAATGATTTTTTTATATGGTTTACATTGGATTTCTGAGAATGTTTATAATATTTGAAATAATGTCCACATAATGTAGATATGTCAGCTACAGCTAAAAACACTAATATTGCATTTCCAATAAAACCCAAACTTTCCAAAAGTAAATAATTTTAAAAATACAGAACATCCATTACCTTGATACTAAAAAGTAAATATTACTAAAGAAATATTTATTTCACATTTTTTTAAAAAGCAGGATGTTTTTCTTGTTGTTCTGTACTGAGTCAGAACTGACTTAGGGCTGATCTTCATGGGCTCCTACAAGCTGTGTATCAGACAGGAGGGGACTGCACGGCTTTCTCCCAAGAAGCAGCTAGTGAATTCAAACCTCCAGCCTTTGGCTTAGCTGTGGTGTTAAAGGTTTATTGTTCAAAATGGTTTTCCTAATCACTGACTTTGACTCTGTGCCGCATGGATAGGAGAATATGTGAATTGACTATGTTAGTCCATCCATAAGGGGACTGGCTAATCTCACCACTAAACTGAGTGGATTCAGCAGCAGAGTTTGATACTCTCGCCACCAATAAAGAAGCAGGAGAGCAGTGCACACCTGCTGGGCCAGAGATTCTTGTGCCAGCCAGACCTCCAGAAGCAGCAGCAGCAGCCTGAGCTGAGAACAGAGACCCAGCCTGAGAGTTGATCTTGACATTGCTACCCCACAGAGCCTTTGCCCAATTCTGCTGGGAGACTTGAAATGAGTGAAGTAAAAAATGGCAGGACTAAATAAAGTCTTTGTAACATTGGCCTAAAGCCACGAGGCTGAAGGTTGAGGGTGCCTGTGAGTGCATTTCAGCAACTGTTCTGAGTGATTATATCTTACTATCAACCTGAATTACAGCCTTTTGATTTTCCAATATGTTTCTGTGTGGTATGTGAGCTATCATAATGGATTTTTGGACCTAGCAAAACAGGAGATCAGGACATGTATTGCACTGGGAAAGTCTGCAGGCAGGGACCTCTCCAAATTATTGAAGAATGATGATATCAGTTTGAGGACAAAAGTGCACCTGATTTAGGTCATGGTCTTTTTGGCCACTTATTGTGGATCTAAGAGCTGGACAATGAATAAGAATGACAGAAGAAGAATTAACTGATGTCTTTGAAGTGTGGTGTTGGAGAAGAGTGCTTAAGATTCCATGGACTGCCAAAACAACAACATATTTGTCTTGGAGAAGGATGCCAGAATGCTTCCTGGAGGCAAAGATGATGAAATTTCATCTCACATACTTCAGACAGGCTGCTAGGAGAGGTTATTCCTTGGAAAGGAACAACATGCTTGGACAGGGATGCCTGGTAGAGGGATGACAAAACAGAGGAAAGACCCTTAACACTAGGTAGGGTGACACAATGACTGCAGAATTGGGCTTGAGTGTGTCAGAGATTGTGAGGACGGCATGGGAAAGGACAGTGTTCAGACTGGTTGTTCATAGAGGGTTGTTAGGAGTCATACTCAACTCAAGGACACCACGACCACAAAGCAGTAACACTAGTGCTGCAATTACTAGAAAGAGCTGTGGAAGCAAGAGGGACTTGTCTGACATCATGGGAATTAGTTTTGTGGATGTTATTGATGGGAGTGGATTGGCCTACTGGAGTTAGTCTGATATGGCCTTCCTCATTTGGTCCTTGTACTTTATACAGCAAAGTTCCTTACTCACTAAGCCATTAATTTATACCATGGAAGAAAGATGGGAAATCTCCTCCCATGTGATTTATAGGCTCTGAAAACTTACTGAAGGGTTAGCTCTGAGTCACTCTGACACAAAGGCGATGAGGTTCTTTGGGGGAGGGGGGGGTGTTATTAATTTTTAAAATTTAAATCTGACAATTCACAGATTCATTGAGGCTAAGAATTTTAACATTAAGACCACACTATTATTTTGCTTCAGTAAGAAATGGCTATGAAATCTTACCAGTTTTACATTAAAAACTTTGATCCTGCTGTTCTTAAATGATCTTTTCTATACACACAATGAAATAATTTTATTTTGATCTTTTACTGTTTTAATTACTGCTTTATAGAAACTAATCTGATTCAGTAACATAGTGAAAAGGCATTATTAACATTTATATAACTTTTACTAATCCTGAACAATGAACTTAAAACAAAAAAAAATGAAAGTTACAAATTAGAATTTGGCTTTTCATAGTTGAATGATACCTACTTGGTTCTTTTTTTAATTTCATGATTTATAAACAAAACAGAACATATCATAGGAACATAGACTTTATTAAACACACACTGACCTGATGGAAACTGTATGTCAGGATCATTTCATAAAGTTGACGATTATTTGGCAAAACATCTCTTGATCCTAAAGGTTTCGTCTTTGCACTCACTGGCCTGTGATTAGGCAATCACAGAAGTGTATTGATTTTCAATTAATGAGACAAAAATATAGTTAACAAATTCCACAATTAGTAACAGATGGTTCTAAAAATGTCCTTTTTCAATATATTTGGTATTATTTTAATCATTAAAGCATAGATCTTGACTGAATCACAGTAAAATATTAAATTTTTTAGTTCTGTATTAATATTGCTACAAAGATTGTAACTTCATGACAAAAACATTTTTAGGCATTATCACATAGGTGTTACCAATCAAATCTCAACACTAGAGACAACCTCTAACAATGTAAATAACAGGCTCTGAAGCATCTCCTTATCCAAAATATAAGAGATGTGCTACATATATTCACAGCACAGGTGACAAAAGGCATCATGCTGGTACTTACTACATGCCACGTGGCATACTTACTACTTTACATGCAAGTTATATGCTGTATTAATTCTCTGAAACAATTAATGTAATACAGATTTTGCAAATAAAAATACCAAAACTATGTATCTCCAAATCCTGGAATTCTTTATATTTATTGGTAATTCCAGAAGTTAAATACATTCTTTTATATTACTGGTCATCTAATTCCCTATATAGTTACTTTAGTGCACTTACAAGCAGGCTTCATGCTGATGTGAGTTTGGATTAGTTTAAGAAAAGTCAGATTTACATTGAACGTTTGAGTGTGGGTCAGAGGCTTTGTTTTTGTGGGGGAAGCTGCTGGGGCATAAACTGTAGACTACTTCAAAGTTTCCCCCTCATGAAATCAGTTATTATTACTATTAAAAAACATTTCCCACCATCACAAGTTTCTAAAAATGACTGGATAAAAAGGTTATCTTTGTTGCCCCCGTGGTTAAAGCATTCAATGACTAACCAAAATGTCACTGTTATGAACGCACCAGCAGTTGCTTGAGAGGAAGATGTGGTAATCTCAGACAATGTAAGATTCTTTTGGGGCAAGAAATAAAAGATTAGTGCCTACCAATACTGGCCCTAACTAGTCATGACTGAGATCACCTACTGCCATCTTCCATCCTTAACTTTGCTGGCAAGGTGGGAAAACACTGCTGGGACTGTCTCCTAGAAATTCAGAAAAAATAGCATTTTCATCTCCAGGATCCAGTCCCACAAATATTCCTTCACTCCAACCACCTCTAACTCCCACCATCATCAACAGTCTACATTTGTATCCTCTAAACAATTGATACCGTAGTGTTTGGACCCAGCTCTTCAAAGTTATGCAGGGAGCCAGATCTTCATATTTTAAGGAAGACTGAACATCAAAACGGTTGATGCCTTCTGAAGCATGCTAAAAAAAAAAAACCATTTATTAAACTGTATTTTTTAATATTTTGTACCTAAAATACCTATTTCCAATACAAAGTTCATCAGTCACAAACAAAAATTACTGCTTTTTTCTGAATCACAAGTAATTTCTGCTTTAAATCTAATTAAAGAGTTTATTTTTCAATAGTACAAAGAATAAGACATTTAAAATGATGGTAATAGAGAACTTACAATATTTAATTGAGAAGCTGTACAAACTATGCCATGGAAAGAAATGGTATAATCAATATTGACATCACTAAGACTTGCCCACCAACGAGCAATGCAGAATTCAATTGATTTACCACCCTGCAAATGAAAACAAAACAAAACAAATTATAAACATGAAAACATTTTCTGAAGTTACAGACTGTAATATTGGATGCTTCAGACAAGTCAATGCTTTCAAACTTTACTTCTTTGTACAGTAAGCAAAAGAACTTTTTCCAGGCTACATGTTACATAAATCAGAGTTGCACAGGTAAATACAAGATATAAGTACACAATTACCTACTCGTTTTCTTGTACTTCTTGTCATAAAATGCCTGAGGCAGTTTTTAAGAGTATACACAATGAAAGTGAAAGGACAATAATGTTCTGCCAAAGCAGAAACATTAGGATTTTATGATAAGAGAAAAGCTATTACAGCTCTGTAATATAATCAACAGCCAGTTAAGTTTTAAGCCCAAAACACACAAAACAATACAACTGTCACTTACATCATTACGCTTTTCACTGGGAAAATAACAAACAAACTGGTGAGGTGAAGGAAAGCTGCTTTGTGCACTGTGTTTTAAATCAAGTATACTCCTAATCAAGGCTATTAGAAAGTTTAAAAAGATGAATCATGTAATATTGGTACATAGGAGGACACAAGTGGAAGTAATCAGAGACTCTAAGAGGGATGAGAAAGATCACAGAAGCAACTGAAAAAAGAAAGTGGCAAGTTTAATTTAAGGGCCCTAGAAAGAAGGGTTCAATTCTCTGGTCCAAAATCAGTTGACAGTACCAGAGGCAAATTAGGTAGAGAAAGCAGCTCTGAGAAGTCATTCTTTAATGGTTGTAAACCAAAAGGTTGGTTGATTGCAACTCATATGCCTGCCAGTCTTGCGTACAAAGATACGAGAATTTGTAACTGTAAAGATGTACAACTTTGAACTGCTCTATGGCAGCCTGAGCTGGAGAAGTGAGTTGGTTAGCCGAAGAAGGATCTCTGGTGGTACATGGGAACCTACATCAGGTTTACAACCTACATGTCCTAACAGGAGGAGACTACTCCTTCTCCTATGAAGTTCAGTGGCTTGGAGCTTCTTGCATTTAAGCTAGCTGAGTAATTTAAAAGACAAGTTGTTATACACCTTAAATAAGAAAAAAAAAATTTAACCTACAACAAAACAATTTCTATTAGGGCACAAATTATAGTGATCAGAATCTTTGGGATGAGCACTTGGTTTACTGCCAACAAAGTCTCAACCTCTGGTAACTTAGTGGTAAGGAAAGGCACTGCCAACACGAAGGTATACAGTTCGAATCCACCAACTTCTCTGTGGGAGAATATTGAGCAATCTCCTCTCATGCAATTTACTGCATCTAAAAATCCACTAGAGGGTTAGCTAAAGGCAAATTCTGACTTGATGGTACTCAACAATAACAACAATCTTCTTACTTCATTTACTTAGCATTGACAAATAATTAACAATAATATTTCATAATGTTCTTGAATACAAACTACAAAACTTTGTACTTAAGTTTAGGCAAGAGAAAATGTTTCAAGATTTCAAAATGCTTTTTAAACTTACTAAAACAGGAAAAGCCTCAGTCAGTGTTCCTTTTTCTGGAAGGGAACAGAATTTATAGAATTCATGGCTTCGATATGCTCTTTGCTTCACAAGCTGTACTGCATGAAGAACAAATTTGGCTGATACTTCAGAAGAACATGAACACACTGTAACCTCTAAAACAATAAGGGAAGAAGTAAAATTTTAAAACAGATGGAATGGTTTTATGTTACTTCTTTTGGGAATAATAAACCAGGGATAAAAAGATTACATTCAAATGACACCTCCATATTTCCATAAAAACAAAGCATCAACAGAATCTGAGCAAAGTTAAAAGAATATGAAAATAAATAAAACAATATTAAAAGGTATCACCAAAATGCTACAGACACCATATAACTATAAGCTGTGCAACATATACACAATCACTTTAATGAAACCAAAATCAAATCCCCTGCTGTCAAGTAGATTCTAACTCAGAAGACCCTCTGTCAGGTTCCTAAAGCTGTAAGTCTTAGAAGGCAACTAATATGTCTTATTTCTCCTGTAGAGGATCTGGTGGATTTGAATCAAAAATCCTTCCTACTGCTAAATCTTTTCCTTTGTTTCAGGGGAAAATTACTTGACTTCTAATGAAGAGGATTATAATTTTAGAAACTATTTTTGTTATCATGCCTAAATTCAACTGCTGTTACGTGCCTTCAAGTCACTTGTGACGCTATGTAAAAAGCCTGCCCTATCCTGAGCCAGTTTCACTGACTCTGATGCATCCACCCCCACTGCCCCAATTACTGTATCAATCTATCTCATGAAGGATTTTCTTACTTACTATGCATCAGAGAGCTGGGCAATGACTAAGAATGACAGAAGAATTGATGCTTTTGAGTTGTGGTGCTGGATCAGAGTCTTGAACATATCATGGACTGCCAAGAAAACAAACTGGTCTGTCTTGGAGAAGGTACAACCAAGCTTCTCCTTGGAGACCAGTATTTTAAAGCTCCTTCTCACATATTTTCAGCATGTGGCCAGGAGGGACCGATCTTGGAGAAGGATATCATGGAGAAGGGTGGAGGGACAGTGCAGGAGAGGAAGAACCAAGATGGGAGGGATTGATACAGTAACTGGGGCAATGGGGGTAGGTGTATCGGAGGCAGTGAGACTGGCTCAGGACACCGCAGGCTTCAAAGCTATTGTACATAGGGTAGCTATGAGTAGCAGGCAATGTGCTGGCACAAGTGAATGGTGCCCCGGGTTGTACAATAAACAGCTCTGACTTGTTCCCAGAAGAACTGTCAAATACTCAAGTGTATTCTCCATGTGGATTTCTTATACATTAGGTATTTTCTAAAAGCCTCATAGTAGGCTATAAACAATACTTTCGGCTGGAATAGAAACACTTAGCATTAAAAAATAAGCCCAAAGGAAGTATTAGTGCCTGGCAGAATTTGAACTGAGATCTGTCAGTCTCTAAAATTTTTGTGCTCTTCAACTACTTCATACTGTCTCCTCTTTATTACTTTCCCTTAGTTGAAAAACAAGAGGTTTGTACTAGATGTTCCAGAGCATTTTCCAGGAGAAAAAGCTTTTCCCCAAACGACTTCATCACCACAGCCCTTTAAAAATGGAACAGAGTATAAGTGGTACATAAAAGATTATCTAATGAAGGAGCATAACTTAACTCTGGGTTATCCCGATGCTACATAATAGCTCCACTGTCATCTAATGTCCAAATTTTTAAGACCCTATTCAAATGGTTACGCCCTATTCAATGGTTGCCTTGATTCCTGGATTTTGCTATTAATTATGTACTAATTATTCCATCATCAAAAAAATGATATAAAGTAAAACAAGTGCAAAATTTTAGCTTTACTATGGTGCATCACTGAAGATTATCCAAAAATGACTGAAACAACACATCAGCAGAGAAATGCCAGAAGTCCAGACTGGTTTTAGAAGGGGTCGTGGTACTAGGGATACTGTAGCTAATGTTAGATGGATCTTAGCTGAAAACAGGGAGTACTAGAGGAATGTCTATCTATGTTTCATTGACTATGCTTCATTGACTATGCAAAGGCGTTTGACTGTGTGGAACAGATCATAACAAACTGTGGCTGACTCTGAGAAGAATGGGAATACCAGAACACTTGATCGTGCTAATCTATCTATGTCTATCTATGTTTCATTGACTATGCAAAGGTGTTTGACTGTGTGGAACAGATCATAACAAACTGTGGCTGACTCTGAGAAGAATGGGAATACCAGAACACTTGATCATGCTAATGAGAAACCTTTACTGGGACTAAGAGGCAGTTGTCAGAACAGAGCAAGGAAACACTGCATGGTTCAAAATTGGGAAGGGCATACGTGAGGGATGTGTCCTGACTCCATACCTTTTCAACTTGTATGCAGAACAGATTATCCGGGAGGCTGGGCTCTATGAGGAGAAATGTGGGGTCAAGATTGGTGGAAGATCTATCAACAATCTGCGATATGCAGATAATACAACCCTGCTTGCTGAAAGTGAGGAGGACCTGAAGCGCTTGCTGCAGAGGGTCAAGGACTGCAGCCTACAATATGGATTGAGGCTCAATGTCAAGAAGACAGATTCTCACCACTGGGCCAATTGGCAGCATCAGGATGGATGGTGAAGAGATTGAGATTGTTCACAGCTTCAGTTTGCTTGGCTCCACAGTCAACACTCTTCGGCACCAGTAGCCTGGAAATTAAGACGTATTGCCATGGGAAAGTCTCCTGTTAGGGACTTCTCCAAAGTACTGAAGAGCAATGGTGTCTCTTTGGAGCCTAAGGTGCGTCTGATACAGACCATGGTCTTTGCTATCACTTGTTATGCATCAGAGAGTTGGACAAGGACTAAGGAGGACAGAAGGAGAATTGATGATGCCTTTGAGCTGTGGTGCTGGAGAAGAGTATTGAGAGTACCATGGACTGCCAAAAAAACCAACAAATTCTTCCTGGCAAGGGTCAAACCTGGCAGCTCCTTGGATGCAAGGATTCTGAGGCTCTGTCTAACATACTTTGGACATGTTGTAAGGAGGGACAGGTCCTTGGAGAGGGACATCATGCTTGGTAGGGTAGAGGGACAGCGTAAAAGGGGAAGGCACCCTATGAGGTGGGCTGATTCAATGACTGGGGTAACTGGGGTGGGTGTGTTGGAAACAGTGTGATTGGCACAGGACAGAACAGAGTTTAGGGATGTTGCCATAGGGTCGCTATGAGTCACAAGCGACTCGACGGAACATAACAACAACAACAACATGGTGGATCACCTTGGAAGCAGGGGTGACATCCATTTCCATAATAGCTGGCTTCTGGAAACCCTATGAACCTGGATAAAGGACAGAAGTTATACAGACATCCAGGACTTTTGTTGCTATGAGTGGCCTACGACATGACGGCACTTAACAACAACAACATGGTGGATCACAAGCTTTGCATTTCCTGTGGTATCTGGTGGCCAATATGATAAACTATACAGAGAGAGATGACCAGAAAGTGGTATAGAAAAAAACACAGCCAGCTCTTCCCAAATCAGTTCTCACACAATGTCATTTAGCATACACTCTCAGAATCAATACATCTGTATTATTTACATAAGTACAAAAAAAAAAATACACTTCTCAGCGAAACTGTATTATCTATAATGATAATGGTAGATGCCATTATCTTTACAGATACTACTACTCAGGATTTGATGGCGATTGAATCAGACAATATAAGTCAACTGTCTACCAGATTACACAAGCATCAAAGAAGTATTCAGCAAAATTACCCAAGCAAAATAAGTGTTCAGCAAATATTGATCACAAATTTAAATTAGTTGAGATTTTAACTGCTTACATCTATTTATTTTCTCCCATAATAAAATATACATAATATATAATAGTATACCTTACACATCCCATACATATTTCTAAATTATGAAATTATTGTCACCTATGACTCCACATAACAACAACGTGTAAAGGAAAATATGGTTTATCTACAACCCTCATAAAAAAGATACATAATTATTCTAGTATAACTGCTACATATAACTTAATAGCAATGGGTTTTGCTACATTGTGACCCTTCAGAGCACTGGAAATGCTACTGTGAAAAATCTCTTAAGTTTCTAATTAGCTACATAGGATCCAACTGGCCAAAGCAAGTCCAACAACTGAAAGGGCATCTTAGGGACACTGAGTTTATGTTAATATGGAGGAAAAACTCAGAAAAGAAGGGTAAAAAGGGTGGTACAATTCAAATAATGTTAATTAATGTTACTAAGTAAATGTAGAAGCTGCTAATTTGGTTTATGTTTTGTTGTGTATCTTCCTAACAAGGTCAAGAAAATTATACTTTTTTAAAAAAACAAACTATAAAATTCCAATGGGTGACGGTTACCCATGGTGGCCAGTGTTTGGTGGAACTCCTGGCTTAAGACAGGTTTGGAAGTGGGAGTGGCATCTACTTCCTAAACAACATGCAATCATAAACTCTATGAATTTTGATAAATGAAAATAGTTATAGAAAGGCTTCAGGCCCTTTGTTCATAGGGTCGCTTAGGAGTCCTGCTCAACTCAATGTCAATAAACAACAACAACAAATTGATCTGTAGTAATTAAAAAATTATTAAAAGAAATCACTCTAAATTAACAATCTGAATATTAAAAGATTTTAAGATCAACTCAGTGATCTGATGTGCAAGTCAACAACAAAACAAAAAAAACCCCACTAATATTTTTAAGAGCAAATTTCAGATACTATTGATACTATGACAAAGAGATGTACTATGAAGATAAGAACTCCCTATGGTCACAATCATAACAAGGTAAGCACAAAGTCAAAACATCAAGACCAAAAGACAAAAAATCAACTTGTCAAGACAAACATTTAATACTTACCAGCCCATGTTGCACCCTCAGGAACCTCAATAAAATGCCTTCGAATCTGACCAGGTTTAAAATGTACATCTGTAAAGGCCAGATCATAATGTGATGATTCATTTACTCTGAAAATGAATAAAACAAAACAAATGATTAAATGTGAAATTCTCATAAAAATGGGTTTATACATAGCAAGTCCACTGGTATCCTAAATTTCACTGAATACAGATGAATAGTTCATTGAAAGGAAACACAAAGGCTTATAAGCTGTCTATAAAATAGTGTGTATACACACACAAACACACACACACACACGGAAAGATAACCTCTGGACAGTAGACTCTTTCCCCTTCTTTATATTTTATAATTATTTTATAAGACAGACACACATAACCCCCCACCTTCCCCCCCACAGACTCCCCCTTTTTTAATTAAAGGAATCCTATAGCAGTCACAAAATTTTCCAATTATCAGCATCCAAGTGAGACTTAGATATTAAAGTAAAAAAACTACAGCTCTAAAACTGGTATTGGCTGAAATCTTCTTTGGAGCTTCAAAACAAGCCTAAGCAATGAAAGAGTGAAGAAAGACCAATTACTTTCACAGTACTTTTGTAAGAAATCAAAGAAACATAAAGGTCAAATGTGTAATTACCTTGACTAGAGACAAATTCTCATCAGTACAATGAACACCTAGTGAGTGCCTTCTGTATGTGAGGTACTGCACTAGTAATTTGAAATACAACAATGAATAAAATTGGTTTTTTATTTTAAACAATCTAGTAGGAAAAGAAAAGTGATCAGAATTTCATTTTGGTTGCTGAGAATATAAATGGTGAACTATACACCAATTAAACCATTTCTGTATGTCCAATTCAGTGGTGATGATTACATTCATGTGAGTCAAGTAATCACTCTTATTCTCCTAGGAAAAAGACCTTTCATGATGTGAATATATGATAATTTATGAACAGTATGTATTTTATCAGTCAGCCAAACATCAGCAGGATCTCAACAGAAACCCAGACATTCTCCATCAAAAGTACATTTGGTTGTCTTTGATATTTTGCTTTCAGTTCTGTATGAAGCATATACTTTTTTCTGAATTTTGTCTTGTCTTTGTGGAAAAATAAAGCAAAATATGTGTACCATTAAGTGACGCAGATTATATTCTTAAAGTAGTACAGTCATTCTCACTCTTCTTTGGATCGCTATTCCTCCATCAATAACACAAACTTGCCGCTCCCTAAGGCTTCTAGCTAATATTTTCATTTGATTAGGAGTGTTTACTGGATAGACAAGCAGCATTAGCTGAAAGAAGAAGAGTACTGAAGTAATATTGTCAAATATCACAGAAGGACCACATAATAAGTCCTCTGTCATTAGGAACTTTGGTAAGGACTCTGGAAGGCAGTCTGGCACTTCCTCAAAAAAGGTGAACACAGAAATTCCATATGACCCAGATATTCCATTGCTTGGAATGTACCCTGAGAAAATGAGAACTGACACTCAAACAAAAACTTGTGCACCAATGTTCATAGCAGCATTATTCACCATCGTAAGAACATGGAAACAGCCCAGATGCCCAACCACAAACGAATGGATTGAGAAATTATGGTACATTCACACAATGGAATACTACAAAGCACACAGGAGCAATGATTTTGTAAATTATTATCTAACTCGGAGGGACTGGAAAGCATTATGCTGAGTGAACTAATTCAGTTCCACTAGGACAATTACTATATAAAACTACTATTGTAGTATGAGGATCCAAGGCAGGGGAGGGGGTGGAATTAGAGCGGTAAGGATGGTTGGGGGGTGGTGTTAATCACAGGGTTGCACAATTCGATGGGTGGGTGGGGTGAAGGAAATGGGAAGGATCGTTTGTAAAGAACAATGTACTCAAAGTTTGTAAATAAATTGAAATTTTTTTAAAAAGGATGGTGGTTCAGCATTGCACAATTTGGTGAGTGAAGGGAGGAGGGAAGGAAATGAGAAGGATGTGGGTGCAAAGATGGACTAGGTCCAATAGTAATTAATTTTATAAAACTTAATGCATTCGATTTTTATGAAACACAATAGGAATGATGAATAGTGTGAAATACAATGTATAAAAACTTTGTAATAAGTAAATAAATTTTTTGAAATAATTACATGTAACAGAAACTTGTGATAACCTACTACTTACTTTGCTGCTATAACTGCAGTTATTGGCACTCTGAAAAGAGGACCTGCATTAGGAGATGCTGTATCATAGCCACATACCTTGAAAAAAGATCATTAGTTTCAATATTAATAAATAAACTCCAAAAACAGCCACAAAAAGGAAAAACTGTATAATTATATTGCTGTTGTGTACTGTCTGTTGAGTCAGAACCAACTCACAGCAGACTCTCTAATGCATTTTCAGGGGCAGTAAATCACATGTGAGCTGACAAATGCCCATCTTTCTCCCACAGAGCAGCTGGTGGAAGCGAACCAAGTGCCCTTAGGTTGGTAGCACATCTCCTTACCCCTATACCACCAAAATTCCCTATCTATTTTGAATACAAGTTGTACAATTATAAGCAATTTTGGTCTAAGCAAACACATATGTGTGTGCATGTACTACACAAGCCTTTTGTATACCTTTATGTATATAAAACAAACTTTAACCAATTCAGACTATTCAAGTATACGTCTTTTAAGAAAATGAATTTTAATGATTCTCGACTGAAAATTAGCTCAATTTAGGCACGACAAATAACACTAAGATGAAACATTGTTGTGATTATCATTCACATGTATTAAGTATACTAAACTTTAGATAAAGGTCTTATAATTTCAAACATTGTAAAAAGTAAATAAAATTAGAGAAACTAATACCTCTGTATAATGCAATCCTTCTCTTAAGCCGCGGGGATCCACACGTATATTTATATGTCTACACTGATTCATGAGTTCCAAATGGCTGGGACATTGAACCCAAGATGAATTTGAAGTTAAAGCTAAATGAAGCTGGAGGGATATTTTTTCAGAGTTTTCTAGCATTAAAAGACAACACACACACAAAAAAAGATTAATTTTCTTCCTTTCTTTTTATTCCATTCTGAAAAGCTGTGTTTTCTCTCAAGAAAATTTAGTAAGTGTTTGGCCTCAACTATAAAAGGCATGCTACAAGACCTCTCAAAGCACAGTTAAAATAAATCCTCTTTATCTTTAATTATACTTAAAAACATCCATACTTTCACCAAACACTGCTATGTCCTCAAAATACAGCATTTTAGTTGCAAATTCTTCATAGATACAGATAACAGTATTTACCTGAAATCAATCTATAATTGTATACAACTGTGCTGCAGTCTGTCCTCTTGTTATGTGCTGTCAAGGTGCCTGCGACTCATAGCAACCCTGTTACAACAGCTTTGAAGCTTGTCCTATCTCACTGAATCCAACACCTACCCTACTGCCCTAGTCTGTTGTCTCCACCTTTCCAAGCATAATGTCCTTCTCCAAAGACTGGTCCCTCCTGGCCACATACCCAAAGGATGTGAGATAGAGCTACAAAATTCTCGCCTCCAAGGAGAAACTTGGTTTCACCCTCTCCAAGACAGACCTATTTGTTTTTCTGTTGGTCCATGGTAGGTTCAAGATGCTTCTTCAGCAAGACAACTCAAAGGGATCGATTCTTCTTCTGTCATCCTTAGTCACTGCCCAGTTCTCTGGTGCACAGCACGTAATTGTGAAGACCATTGTCTGGATCAGGTGCACCTTGTCTCCAGATTGACAGTACTGCTTCTCAGTAATCTGGAGATGCCCCTGACAGCCTATCTTTCCAGTGCAATTCGTCTTTTGATTTCCTGATTGTTGGTGCTAAGAGTGTTGATTGTGGAACTGATCAGCTATCATTGTTAACAACCTCAATCTCTTCTCCATCTATTATGGTACTGCCAATTGGCTCAATGTTTTTCTTGATGTTGGGCTTCAATCCATAATGAAGACTACAGTCCTTGACCTTTTGCAAAAAGTGCTTCAGGTCCTCCTCAGTTTCAGCAAGCAAGGTTGTAAGGTTGTGTCATCTGTGTAGCGTTCGTTGCTGATGAATCCTCCAATCTTCACTCCATATTTCTCTTCAGAAAGCCCAACCTCCTGAATGATCTGTTCTGCATATGCATTGAAAAGATACGGAGATAGGACACATCCGACTCTCTCTTTTCATGATGAACCATGCACTGTTTCCTTGCTGTGTTCTGAGGGACTGCTTCCTGGTCTGAGTATAGGTTGTGCAAGAACACAATCAAGTTTTCTGGGATTCCTCAATGTTAGTCACAATTTGTTGTGATCCACACAGTTAAAACCTCAGTTTTTCTTACACTGAACTAGTAAAATGGGGAGGGGAAAAACCGAAGTGCAATTATCCCAAACTTTTAATAAACTCAGGCCACTTTCGGCATGTTGGAAGCAGGGGCCAGAATTTTGAAAAGGACATTATGGTGGGGAAAACTGGAGGGAGGGTCAAAGAAAGACCTTTACCAAAATGGACTGACTGAGTGTTTATATAACAGGTTCAGGCACAGATAGTGAGGATCCTGCAGAATAGGGCAAGGTTCAGTTCCACTGTTCTTTTTTTTTTTTGGTGCAATTTTTTAAAATAGATTGTAAGCTGCAACATCCACTCTGCACAGTGCTGTCCCTTCACAGAAGGCACGAAACGGCCAGAGCATCATGTGGGCAGCCGGCCTCGGTGCTGTAGGCTGTGGCAGTGGGCCTCCTTCAGGGTCTGGCTGATGTGGAAGTAAAGGCCTTGGCAGAGAACAGACGGCTCGGAGGTGGGCTGGGGGGCGGTGAGAGCTTGAGCCAGCAGTGATCTGCTGTAAGCTGGTTTCTGGGCCACTCGCCTGGTCTGGGCTGTTGATGCTGCTGACACCACCACTCTTACTACTGGAAGACTCTGTGTCCCAGGAATCTTGAAAGGCAGGGTTCCAGCTACTCCTCTTGGTCTGCAGAGGGATGTGGTTGTCTTCAGTTCCTTCTCCTGGGGCGGAGGCGCTTGCTCATGGTAATCTGAGGAGGAGAGTGACTGCTGTGCCTGCTTCCTGTGATGAGGTAACTAGGGGACTATCAGTTCTATTGTTCTTAAGAGTTCCCATAAGCTGTGGGCACCTATCAACAGGTAATTTAAGACTGATTTTGTTGTTTCTCTAGATAGGAATACAGTTGCCATTGTTTTTGGATGCCTAACTGCTTTCCCTTTTTCCCCTAAGATCTAAAATATTTAAGCAGAAACAATGCTTTCTTTTTGGAACATTGTTGTGGTTGTTATTAAGTGCTGTCGTAGGTGACTCATAGCTACCCTATGAACAGAAGTCCTGGACACCTGTATAACTTTTGTCCTTTCTCCAGGTTTATAGGGTTTCCAGAGGCAAGCTATTATGGAAGTGGATGCCACTCCTGCTTCCAAGCATGTTTTAATTGCGGAGCTTCACCAAACACTGTCCACCATGGGTAACCATTCTCTCATTTGACTCATCAATCTCACAGTGTTCGGCTGCACAGCACCCACGAGTTACCTCTGTACAGCAAGTGGACATACCAAGGTTACACGACCTAGAAGAATATTTCACCAAAAACAATTAAAGGCAGGCCTGAGGGCCGCGGAGTAGAGTCACCCACCTTTGGCTTGGAAGTATGACTTTCTGTCCACTAAAAAGATTTGAAAGATTAGCCCCAATAATATTTCTCTATTACAGTACCATTCATTCAAATCATGTACTTGACTTCAGTTTTTTACTTACCCGTATTCTCTGGAAATATAGGTTCAATGCCAACACCATGATCTGAAGGTGCAGCCACTTGTATAGAATCTCGGAGGTAGATGCCTCGGTTAGTTCCAACAGTAACAGTAAAACCTAATTTATTAGCAAATGATGTATTCTGAATGAGGTAGTCATAGGCTTTATCAACCTAATTAGAAACATCAACAATGAGATACAGATTTTGTATTGCAAATTATCAATTCACTTTCAGTTATAGCATAATAAAAAGTTTGTATACTTCTCTCTCTATATTACATGGCAACCTCAACCGAACATTCTACCTTTTCAGACAGAATAATAGTGTAATATACTACTGGGCTCAGCTTCTATTCTCTCTATTCACTGTTATTTCCAAGTGACCAAAGTAAGGAACTGCTCCATATGCCATTATTCTACATGCTGTAACAATTTACCAGCTTACATCCTCGACCGTTTCCTGCCTTGAATTTCTAAATTTACACACTATATATTTTAGTATAATAAATTTAGATTAGTTACAAATTACGCTTTATTTTCTCTTTGCTTTTAATTACTAAATTAAAAAAAATTAAAATCAGAAATGCAGGTAAAATTATCTTAGTTAGGCAGGAAATATTACCCAGTATTATCTACAACATCTTGCTGATTTCCATCATACTTTTCATTCAGACAATAATACCTGAATAATACCATGTCCTTGGGCAAATACTTCTATATTGTCAGCTTTGACTGCAGTGTTTTCCAGAGCTCTTCTGACCGAATGAACTGTATAGTCAACATTATTCGCTTTCAGACCTAAAATAAAACAAACACAAAAGTAGTGTCAGATCATAATACTTGAAACTGACCCCACACACTCATATAGCTGACACAGAAAGATTTTCTGATTTTAATTTTTTGTTATGGCATTCATATTTTAGATTATTTTTTAAATTACGCATAGTTAAACTGTTTTTAACCAATAATTCAAGCAATAAAAAATACTGTGTTCCTATTATATAATGGCATAAATGTAAGTCATGTAGCAGTAAAAAGAATGCAAGAAAGAGAAAAATGTTAACTGGGAATGGAGGAGGCTAAGATGAAGTTGATGAAGTGTCATTTTCTTTAAGCATTGCTAGTCAATACGGTTGCTGACAGTGGCTTTCAACCTACTTTCAGGTTATAAATATCAGAAGAATTTTATAAAAACGAGAGCTGACTTTTAACCAGAAACCCATAAGATCAGGATCTTTGAGAGTATGATCCCAGGTTGTTGTTGTTGTTGTTGTTATGTGCCGTCGAGTCGTTTGCGACTCATAGCGACCCTATGTACAACAGCCCTAAACTGTGCTCTATCCCGTGCCAATCTCATTGCCTCTGACACACCCATCCCGATTACCCCAGTCACTGAATCAGTCCACCTCATAGAGGGTCTTCCCCTGCTGCGCTGTCCCTCTACTCTACCCAGCATGATGTCCCTCTCTAAAGACCTGTCTCTCCTTACAACATGTCCAAAGTATGTCAGGCGAAGCCCCAGAATCCTTGCCTCCAAGGAGCAGCCTGGTTTAACCCTCTCTAGGATGAATCTGTTTGTTTTCTTGGCAGTCCATGGTACATTCAATACTCTTCTCCAGCACCACAGCTCAAAGGCGTCAATTCTCCTTCTATCCTCCCTAGTCATGGTCCAACTCTCTGATGCATAACAAGTGATTGCAAAAACCATGGCCTGTATCAGGGGCACCTTAGTCTCCAGAGAGACACCGTTGCTCTTGAGTACTTTAGAGAGGTCCCTAACCGCAGACTTTCCCATCGCAATACGTTTTTTGATTTCCTGGCTACTGGTGCCAAGAGTGTTGACCGTGGAGCCGAGCAAACTGAAGCTGTGAACACTCTCAATCTCTTCGCCATCCATCCTGATGCTACCGATTGGTCCGGTGGTGAGAATTTTTGTCTTCTTGACATTGAGCCTCAGTCCATACTGAAGGCTGCAGTCCTTGACCCTCTGCAGCAAGTGCATGAGGTCCTCCTCAGTTTCAGCGAGCAAAGTTGTGTCATCCCAGGTACTGATATTTATTAAAAGATTATCAGGTAATTCTAGGTAATTCCAGATTAGGAACTACTGTACCACATAAAGGATATGGAGAATGCTACACATTTTGTGGTAAGGATGAAAAAGAAAATGTCCTCCCTGTTTGAGTACACCGAATATATAAACATTATGATATTGTAAGAAACGAAACAAACATGTAAACATTTTAAGAGCACATCAAGGAATGAGACTTTGTCAGTGAGAATTCACAAAAGCTAAACTACATGAGAGGATCTGATAGATACTCTGGATTTTGAAGGCTGTATAGAAGTAGGTCAGGCTAACAAGCAGAATTGAATTCTAAGCAGAGAAAACAGTGTTTATAGATGGAAATGTGAGAGACCAGGAAATATATAGTTTAAATAAGACTAGAAATAGAGCTAGGGAGTCACAACAAAATCCATCTCAAAAGTTTCCATATTGAGATTTTTGGGATCAAACTGGAAAATAATGTGGCATAAACAAAAGACTGAAAATAAGTGGTATGAAACTACTGGTTTGTTTTTCAAGGTTTCCTCTTGAGTACAAATTTACCAAAAGAGAGACATTGGATGAACAAACAGATACAACAATCAGATAAGGCATGGACTAAAGTGGTAGTAGGGTAAAGAAAACCAAAATAGTTTCTATGGCATGATCTTTACAACAGGGTGGCTATCCTAACTTTGAGTCCTACTTAAGTGACACTTAACACTATAATCCTCCTAAATAATCCCAACCTCTGTGTCATTTCATTCCCTAGCATTCATCATTCTTTAACACACATTGTAAAAGGTATTATTTTATTAACAGTCTTATACCTCCAACTATACTGTAAACTCTATGTTGGCAGGTAAGTTGGCATGCTGTATTTTAGTCCTATAGCAAAAATAATACCTGATATTAATTAACAGTAGACAATCAACAAATCCATTTGTTGAATAAACACATCCACAAAATTATTAATCACCACACAAATAATATTAAACCTTAAACTTTACTTTGATCCCAAGAATACAAATTCTGTTGAATTCTCCCTCCATAACAATCTCAGAAAACAAATTATCTCTACACAATAAGGTAGGCAAAATAAGGAATCTTATATCTACTATCTGGCTTTATTTTATGCTACAAATGTAAAAATACTTAGCTACTGAGAATCTTCTTACCTTACCCCAATTTATGGACTTTAGAACTAAGACTGAAGACTAGAAGTAGAACTAGACCATAAAAGAACAGACTAGAACTAAAACTATAAAAGAATATTCAAAATTCATTTTTTTCAACTGAATGTGTGATTTATTTATGGAGAAAAATAATTAAAACAGGTTTATTCAACAAGGGAAGAAATAAGAACTCATTCATATCCTGGTTACATGTTAATCACCACAGTCTATACATTGTGGTTATGTTCAACATGTGTTCAATGATAATATGAACATCAAAGAATTGCAATTTAAAAATCACAAATCATTTGCCAGTGTTGTAAATTTAATAATCCTGACATAAATACCTCAAAATATGTATGTTTTTAAAACTGCAGTTATTGCTAGTGTTTACAGATCAAATTTATGTACCAACAGTACAGTAAAATACATTGTCAAGACTGCTAGTTGCCACTTAATTTCTTCATAATATGGCTCTCTGGTGTTGCATCAGTGAAAATGCTACCTACAAATGCATGAGTACCCCAGATGCTATGATGAATCACTTTACAGCAGCCAAGATCATCAACAGAGAATCCTAAATGACGATAGCGTTCATCAGTTTCAAAAAGTGTGTTGTTGGTATATGGTCCAAAAAATGCCAAACCAGATGATCGGTCAATAAAGTCCGCCCAATAGCCTTCAGCTCGAAGAGCATAGCAAATTTCCTTAGCACCATTAATGAACTTTTCTAAAAGCATTTCTCTCTCATTTTCTACTTCCTCACTCCAAATAGTCCTATCATTGTTAGTTTTCTGTGTTACAGTCAAAACCATTAATTTGTTGGTTGTTACTTCTGGAAACAGTGATTCAAAATCTCTTCTCAGCAATTCTGGACATGTTTGGATGGCACACTCTACTTTAGCACTTTCAAAGTAAGTTTCTGCATGCACTATTAACTTCTTGTTCAAGAGGTGTATCATTCCCCTGAAATTCATTAACATACTGTGCCATCATAAACTCATGTCTTTCACTCGATAAAGGTTCTGCCAGGACATCAGGCAATGTTTTATAAGCCTGGCTTTTCCTCTGTGAAGATGTCCCATTAAGGTGGCAATCAAAGCCCATGTTCCCAGGAAGTTGGAACCTCTGATCCTGTGGTCCAAATGGTCCTATAGTTTCATCAGGCCAGATTGTTCGAGAGCAGGTATCTGGTGGTGCAGTGGCTACATGAGACTCATCAGAACCTGAAGATCCTGCAGTTGAAAAGGCTCTCGGACTGACAAGCCTTTTAACTAAAGAGCAAAATCCTGGGCCGTAGGAGACCAGACGCCATTTCAGGCGGAGAGGGCAGACGTTTTCTTTTGAAAAGTTATCCCATCACCACCCCCGCCTTCCGCTGCCCCACACCCGAGCTCTTCCCGTCGCCAAAATGGCAGCAAAAATTCATTTTTTAAAGCTAATGGTGGCCCAGTGGTAGGAAGCTGTGCTGCAATCACATGATTTGAATCCACCAGATGCTCGCAACACTCCCTCACGCGATGTACTGCCACTGAAAACCTGCTGGAGGATCAGCTATGAGTCAGTTCTGAATCAACAGTACATATAAACTCCATCTCACTAAGAAGAGCAATTCAAATGCCACTGAAATTATATGTGAAGTACCAAAATATCCTCTATCATTTTATTTATAATTTTTTAAAAAGGGTAGTAAAATCTCATATTTTAATAATCAGCAACTTTACCTGAAAGCACAAGAGCAATGCCTCCACACGCATTTGGAGAAGACATAGATGTCCCATTCATTAGCTGAGTCCCTCGTAACGTCCAGTTAGGAACAGAAGCAATGGCTCCTCCTGGAGCACTGATACTGACTCCAAGAGCCCCATCAGCACTAAAAGAAAAGTCATCAAAATCTACTTAGGATGGTGAAAACAGAATGAACACACCTTCATAAAAAGGCACAGGTCAAGAATGAAGGCTGCATAGTGCAGTATACTCAGGGGGCGGAGGGGGGCAGATTGGACACCAATGAAAGTTTTCTGTTACTTTTCAAAGAGAAGAGCCATCTTGGGGCAAGGGGGGGCAGGGAGAAAAATGCAACAATGAATGAATGAAAATCCAAAGTCTTTGTAAACATTCATTAAAATTAATTTTTTTAAAAGGCACTGGTCAAATGATCCTACAGTATCATGTATTATTTGCAATCATTACACATGATGACAAGAATATTACTATGGAGAAATCTATAGAGGAAAAAAAATGCCCAATATGGCTTCCATTTCCATATTATAAGCATTCCTTTATATTAAAATGTGTGCAAGAAACTCTGGAAATACAGTCATTTAAGTATTAGGCTGCTAAATTAAAGGTTTGCAGTTAGAACTCAGCTGCCACTTTGCAATAGCAGAGGGCTGGTTTACACATGTGCACGCAGCTGGGTTTATGCATGAGAGGTCAAAAGTGAAGGGAAAATAATGACACAATTCTCTCATATCCCATATTTTAGGGATTTTGCTCAGATTCCTTGAATATATTTACTTTTGTCTGTAATGAGCAGAAATGGTTTCCTCCCTTTTTAAGGTCTAAAACAAAGACAATATGAAGTAGAGTGGTAATTTAAAATTTTACACAAGCTGCATTTTAAAAAAATAAGGTACCTATGAAGGTACTGATGAAATTAATGGATAAAATAAACTATTTTATACATTAAAATGCTATAATTTCAACATATAAGGAATCAAAGAATCTACATTTTTTTTTGGTACTAAATCATCAAAATTTAGGCTATCTTATTGTATAGCACTTCTCAATACAGACTAACATTTAGTGTCATGTGGTTACAGTATTGACCAGTATACTCTCATCAGACTGCCAACATGAGGGTTTCGGTATGCTAAAAGAACAAACAGTTATGTCTTGGAGTGGGTGCAGCCGGAGTGCTCTTTGAAGAGGCTTCCCCTCCCATACTTTGGGCATGTTACTAGGAGGGGCTATTCCTTGCAGAGGGATATGATGCTAGGAAGGGTGGAGGGTTGGAAAAGCAGAGGAAGACCCTTGACTACGTGGATTGACAGTGACTGCAATGGGCTCTGGTGTGTCAGAGTGTGAGAATAGGGTTCAGCTCTTTTGTTCATAGGATTGCTATATGTCATACGTACTTGATTCAATGGCAACTAACTAACTAACTAACTAACTAACTAACTAACTAACTAACTAACTAACTAACGGGTTAAAGCCTTTACCTATGTCCTCTATTCTCAGCAAAGGAACAAAATAATGGGACACTATGTTTCTGCTCCTTAGAATGTTGTTATGTGTCATTGAGTTGCTTGCGACTCATAGCGACCCTATGTACAACAGACCTAAACTCTGCTCTGTCCTGTGCCAATCTCACCGTCTCCGATACACCCATCCCGATTACCCCAGTCACTGAATTGATCCACCTCATAGAGGGCCTTCCGCTCCTGCACTGTTCCTCCACCCTACCAAGCATGATGTCCCTCTCAAAGGACTGGTCCCTCCTTACAAGAAGTCCAAAGTATGTTAGACAGAGCCTCAGAATCCTTGCCTCCAAGGAGCTGCCTGGTTTAACCCTTTCCAGGATGAATCTGTTTGTTTTCCTAGCAGTCCATGGTACTCTCAATACTCTTCTCCAGCACCAAAGCTCAAAGGCATCAATTTTCCTTCTATCCTCCTTAATGTCCAACTCTCTGATGCATAACAAGTGATCATAAAGTTCGTGGCCTGTATCAGACGCACCTTAGTCTCCAGAGTGACACCACTGCTCTTCAGTACCCTGGAGAGATCTCTAACAGCAGACTTTCCCATGGCAATGCACCTTTTAATTTCCTGGCTACTGGTGCTAAGAGTGTTGACTGTGGAGCCAAGCAAACTAAAACTGTGAACAATCTCAATCTCTTCACCATCCATCCTGATGCTGCCAACTGGCCCAGTGGTGAGAAGCTTTGTCTTCTTGACATTGACCCTCAATCCATATTGGAGGCTGCAGTCCTTGACCCTCTGCAATAGTCCTAAATATATCATGTAAGTTCATGTCAAGATGATTCTGAATCATGGCAATGCTACGAGTGCAGAATAGCACTGCACACCACAGAGTTTTCACACCTGTGATCTTTTAGAAGCAAATTGCCAGGTCTTTCTTCCAAGGTACCTTCAGGTGAGTCTGAGTATTTAACTGCTTATGTTTCCCTCTGCTTGCATGTGAAAATAATGATATTGTGCTATAGTTTCCACACTCTGCTGGGTCACCCTTCTTTGGGATGGGAACAAATATAGATCTCTTCCAGTTAGTTGGCCAAGTGGTTATTCTCCAGATTTCTTGGCACAACTTAGTGAGCACATCCAGGGCAGCATATGTTAGCCATCTATTCCTGGGGCCTTGTTTTTTGCTATTTCCTTCAAAGCAGCTTGAACTTCTTCCTTCATCACCGTAGGCTCTTGCTCATATGTTGTTTTATGAAATTCTTGTGTGTCTGCCAATTCCTTTCAATACAGTAACTCAGTATATTCTTTTCCATCTTCTTTTAATGCTTCCTGGATCATTTCATATTCTGACTAAAACACCCTTGATTATAGCAACTCGAGGTTTGAATTTGTTCTTCAGTTCCTTGAGCTTAAGAAATGCTGAGCGAGTTCGGCCCTTTTGATTTTCTGACTCCAACTCCTTGCACATTTCATTGTAATATTTTACTTTGTCACCCCGTGCTGCCTTTTGAAGTCTTCTATTCAACTCTTTAGTATCTTGAATTCTTCCTTGTGCTTTGGCTTCTCTGTACTCCAGTGCAATTTTCAGTCTTCTGACATCCATTTTGGTCTTCTCTTCCATCTTTGCAATGACCGTGTCTGCTCTTAGCATCTGTGAGCATTCCTGGGAGATTTCCATGCGTCTTGATGGCACTCTTTCCCTGATTCTAGAAGTTTCTGGTGCAGGAGCTGTGTGCAGAGGCTCTCCTTCTGACCTTTCCTCCTTGGTGGTACAGATGTCCCCTCTCTGCATTATTCTCTCCAATCTCAGGCTACATCCCAGGGAAGCCCCTGCCATCAGCTCAGGGGAGTGTGGAATAATGGATGTTCCAGCCCACCCTCAACTCTTTCAGGACAGAGCAGAGTTTAGGGCTGTTGTACATAGGGTCGCTATGAGTCGCAAGCAACTCGACGGCACATAACAACAACAACGTTTCCCTAGAAATTTCCAAGGAAGGCTGCTGATATACTACCTATACCATTCTTCTTCAAAGTGAGCAAACCATGATTACTTTTAAGAAGCCTTGACAGCACAGTGCATGATGCACTTGGCTACTAACTGAAAGGTTGGCAGTTTGAACCCACCAGTTGCTCCAAGGAAGAAATATGGTCTGTTTCCTCCCAGAAAGATTTACAGGCTCAGAACCCGAGTGGAGGGTCACCATGACTCAGAATCAACCCAACAGCAGTGGCTGTTATTAGTCCTTGCCAGGAATAGTATGGCACAATGTAGTACAGCTTTCAACTGTTGATAGGCCCTGGGGCTGCTTCCATCTCTTTTTTATTATGAATAAAGCTGCACTAAAGATGGGGCATAGAACTATGTCATAATTCTGACTTCTTTGGGGGTATATTCCAAGAAGTGCGATAGCTGGGTCAAATGCTATTTCTATTTCCAACTTTTTGAGGAAGCAACAGACTGCTTTCCACAGTAGTTGTACCATTTCACAACTCATTAATTCTTTGACATTTCTTTAATTGTTTAAAGTGTTCCATAAGCAGAAAATACTGGTAAAATTTAAATACTCTCAAGTACTTTATTTTCATACAAACCACAAAGCTAAGTATTTTAAATGAATCTTACCAAGAATTAATGAAGTTAATATTTTATTTCTAAATATAAAACATTTCATTTTGGCTGACTTATGACTCTGACATCTAGTTCCTCTTATTTAATGACAAGTAATTTTAAGTCAGCTGGTTGGGCTGATGAGGGTAAAAAGCTTGCTGATGTAGGTAAAACACATAACCTGATTGTTTTCAATAGAAAATAGCATTAAGGAGATGGGCAGATAAAAGGGACTACACTCATGACCATATATACAAAGCTGGTGGGTGATAGTTTTACTAGTTCAACTATGGATGCCTATTTGTAACTGCTGTACATACATCCATGTTTATGCTAGTGCCACCAGGTGAAAAAGTCATGTAAATTTCTTAATCATAACCAAATATCCTGTGGGAATGAGTTGCTAGCCCATGGGCCTTAGGTCAGTAGCCTGGGAGAGAAACATGGTCAACCAGCATTAACACAGTCCAGAAGAGGTGTCAGAGAGTGTGAGGATGGCACAGAACAGGACAGGGTTCAGGTTTCTTGTTCATAGGGTCACTATGAGTCACGGTTGACTCGACAGCATCAGCATCAAACCACCACCACCACCTCCAACTTTGGTAAGTAGTGATTAGGGCTTTAAAAGTGTGAGTCATCTTATTAGATAGAACTATTACGATCTCAAGAGCAAAGAAGATAGATGAAAATCAAAGATACCTAGAAACAATTAATTCAAAGGACTAAGGTGTTGCTGTGCCACTATGCTACCAGAGCTCCCTAAGGAACTCTTAACAAGGAGGTGTTAATTCCTCGGGACAATGTGTCATAAAAGATCATAAGGGAAATAGTTGCTTAGACTGTAAGGCAGGAAGGGATAGATAGTAGCATAAAGAAGAAAGAAAGAGGAACAATACACTAATAAATAAATACATTTTCTTTTCAAGACATTACCTAGAAGACTAGGATGGTGTCTTAAGAGTACTAAATTTAGCATTACGGTATTTGATATGTGCCCAAACAGTATTTCTAGGCTTATGTTAATAAAACAGTAATTAAAAAGCAAACTGGTTGTCAGGGAATCAATCCCAACTCTTGGCAAGCCCACATATTATAGAGTAAGAACGACTCCATAAGGCTTTTTTAGGCTGCTATTTTATGAATGGGTCTCTTTTTGGTACAAATGGTTAAATGTTCAACCATTAACAGAGAAGTGTACAGTTCAAACTCACCCAGAGGCATGTCAGAAGGTAAGCCTGGAGAACTGCTTTTAAAAGTTCATAGCTTTGCCAACTATATACTGTGCGCTCATGGGGTCTCCATGAGACAGAATTGCAGCCAACAACTTTTTTCTTTTCTATTTTATTTGTGTGTGTGTGTGTGTGTGTGTGTGTGTGTGTGTACCGTCAAACTGTATCTGACTGGTACAGGAGGAAATTGCCCCTCCTTCTCCAGCAGAGCATCTGGAGGATTCATTCAAACCATGTACCTCTGGAACAGAGGCACAGCTTCTTGCCACTAGGCCACCAGAGCTCCCTTGCAGTTAACAACTTTTATGGAAGCCATCATCAGTCCTTTCTTAAACAATGCTACTGAATGGAAGGAAGCACAAGCCACTTTCTTACCCTGGGACCTTACACAGAAGTTCTGATGGTCCAGTGGTTAAAACAATGGGTGATAATGAAAAGACTGACATTTTGAACCTACCAGCTGCTCTACAAGAGAAAGCTGTGAATTCCCTAGTGACACAGAGCTTTGGAAATCCTATGGGGCAGGTCTACTCTTATAAGATAGCCATGAGTTGGAAAAGACTTAATAGTTTTGTTTTTGGTTTTAATTTGGGGGAGAGGTTTAATATGCTGTTCTAAACAAACTATTAGTAATTTCCTAAACCTTATACTCTTCTCTCATACTCTGGCACATTGCTGGAATAGGCTATTTCCTGGAGAAAGTCATGCTTGGAAAGGTGGGGGAATGACAAAAGAGAAGTCCCTTAACCAGGTGGATTGGCACAGTGACTGCAGAAAAAGGCTCAAGTGTGCCAAAGATTGTGAGGATGGCACAAGATAGGACAGGGTTCAGATCTGTTGCTTACAGGGTGATTATAAGTCATATATGACTCAACTGCAACTGGCAATAACCTAAACATTATCTTTGGGTTCATGATATTCTTGGCAGAGAGCTCCTTTCTTTTCTGACTCTCAAAACAAACCTCTATCCATCCTTCAAGGAAAACTATAATGCCATCTCCTTTATGAGGTTTCCAAAGAGAAATGATTATTCCACCAATTGGTTCCCACTGTTCTAATGTGGCATTTTGAAAAACACCTTTTGAGGGACAGAACTGTTTAAAAGGGATCTATGATTAGATATTATTGTTATGACAAGAGTCCAGAACAAAGGTAGCATAGTGGAGTGGACCTGGGAGGAGGGATTGAATAACAATAAAAACATTTTTTCTTTTTCTTTTCAAAAAGAAAAGCAAATTGGGGGAGGGGTGGCCAGGGAGAAAAGTCCACCAATGAATAAATGGAAATCCAAAGCCTCTGTAAACTTTCATTAAAATAAATCTGACATAAAAAAATTAAAAAAAAAATCATCTTTCTTCATTGCTGGTATTAATAAAGATAATACAACTACTGACATTATAAAAAATGAACAAGATATATGTAACTGTTAAAGGGGAGAAGGGGTTTGGAGGAAAGAAGAAGAAATCTTTAGGTCAGCAGAGATTAGTGGGGATGAAGGAATATATAAGGTGCAAAGGGGACTTGAGACAGAGATAAAATTATTAGTAATAAATCATATAAAACAATGCACAGAAATGATTGTATAAAACAAAATGTATATGACTGAGACAATATATGTGAATGAATGTATAAAAATGAATCATAGTATAAAAATAATTCTAAAATTGTTTTTGATGTACACCCATGTTTATTGTGCTTTGTTCACAACAGCAAAGAGCTGGAAACAACCCAAGTGCCCATCAACAAACAGAATGGACAGAGAAGCTGTGGTATATTCACACAATGGAATACTATGCTGCATTGAAAAACAAGGAACTCATGCATTATTCAAAATGGGTAAGCCTGGAGGAGATTCATTATACTGACTGAAATATCTCAGTCACAAAAGGACAAATGCTGCACAGTGCCACTGTTGTAAAATAGGACTGACATAGGGGTTGGCGGAAGAGTGAGAAAGATGGGATGAATTATGTATACTGCATTTAAACAGATAAGAGAAAGAACTATTAAAAAGGTATATATGATTAGGTATTATTGTCATGACATGAGTCCAGAATGAAGGCTGTATAGTGGAGTGGACTTGGGGGGAGGGACTGTATAACAATGAAAGAGTTTTTCTTCTACTTTTCAAAGAGAAGAATGAACTGGAGGGGAGGGGTGGGCAGCAGGGAGAAAATTACAATGAATGAATGGAAATCCAAAATCTGTAAATTTTCATTAAAATCAATAATAATAATAATAAAAGAAAAACGTTTTTGCTAAACTAACTTCAATGATACTTATAATTTAACTCAAAACAGATACAGGAAGTTATTAAAATAGATTTTATTTTTTAAAAAACAATTACAGATATTAAGTCACAAAAACCTGCTGGGATGACTCAGAGCTCACCCTTCAAAGGGCTTTAAAGGCTGTAAATTACATAGTAACGATGGCCCATCTTTCTCTCTAGTGGTTTTAAAACTGCCAACTCCCTACCCAGTAGGCCAACAGAATTCCCTACCTCACCATACACATCAGAATAGTATCCTTTTCTTGAGAAAGTTTTACCAGTTCCTGAAATCAGATTAATATACTCAAGAGGGATTTAGGGAACTAATACAGAAAAAGACAACTTATCAAACAGAATTTGTGCATTTATGAATCTCATCTAAGAGCACTAAAACTTGGTTTTTACTTCAAAACACGAACAGAGGTATGAAAATCATATCAACAATGATTTCACCAAAGATGAAATTTCATTAAAACAAAGTGTCCACTATTTTTAAAGATTTAGTCCTGCCTTTCTACTAACATGGTGCCAAAAATGAAGATGGAAACCCCTGTTCCTCCTAAACTGAGGCCAAAGCAAAGGCATTAAAGGCCAAGAAGGCAGTCCTGAAGGGCACCTACAGCCACAAAGAAAAAGAAGATCCACACGTCACCCACCTTCCAGCAGCCTAAGATGATGAGACTCTGAAGGCAGCCCAAATACCCCCGAAGGCTGCTCCCAGGAAGAACAAGCTTGACTACTATGTCATCATCAAGTTGTCTCTGATCAGAATCAGTCATGAAGAAGATATGAGATAACAACACACTTGTGTTCACTGTGGATGTCAAAGCCAACAAACACCAAATCAAACAAGTTGTAAAGAAGCTCTGTGACACTGATGTGGTCAGGGCCAGCACCTCGATTAGGCCTGATGGAGAAAAGAAGGCCTATGTTCAACTTGCTCCTGACTCTGATGCTTTAGATGTTACCAACAAAATTGGAATCATGTACACTGAGTCCAGCTGGCTAATTCTAAATATAAATTTTTCTCAAAGGAAAAAAAAAGATCAAGTCCTTAGTTTTTAATTCAGACTTCAAATATGAATGCTTATACTCTAAACAGTTATTTCTTCTATCAACATAATTTAATATCTGTTGTCCTTAAAGTGTTTATCAAGATTAAAATACTAAAAAGAAACCCCTAAAAAAAAAACCACCAAAAAACAACCCAACAAACAACAAAAAGAATTGGTGGATATCCCCTTTCATCCATATAAATAGTGTAAATCAATATGTTGTTGTTGTTAACTACCCTCAGTTGAGTATGACTCATAGTGACCCTATGAACAAAAGATCTGAACTGGTGAGCTCTGGTGGCCTAGTGGCAAGAAGCTGCATTGCAAAATCAGAGGTTCACGGTTTCAATCCACCAAATGCTCTGCTGGAGAAGGAGGGACAATCTCCTCCTGTACCAGCAGATACACAGACACACACACACACGCACGCACACACGCACACAAAGGATCTGAACCCTGTTCTATAACTATTGTCATTTCTCTAATGTTCACAGAGATTCCAAAACCCTGAAATCAATATACACATATAATAATCTCATGTACTACTCTGAACCTACCTTGGGCCCCTAGAAGACCAAGTATATTGATTTGCAGGCAGTTTCTCTCTCAGAGAATACTCAGCAACCATCATATCAGGAGAAACATAAGCACCAACACCTGTGAAATGGATTTTATCATTGAGTAAGAAGTAAAACAAAGATCTGCATTTTAAATTATGTGTCCTTAGCATTATAACCTTAGGTAAAAACTCACTGCCATAAATTTGAAACCAGTTGGTTTCAAACAGCCATCCTCCCGCAGTCTATTTTAGAGGCTGTAAACAGCATGAGAGGAGATTATTTACCTTTTCCCTGCAGATTCACTGGTAGCTGCAAACTCTAGGGCATAGCCGTTAGGTTAGCAGCACAACACCCTAAGAACTATGCCACCAGAGCGCCCTTGTGAATTCTCTTATTTCGTTTCCTTAAACCTCGGTTCTCGTTTGTAAATGGAAAAATTTTAAAATAATAATAATAACAAAGGTACTTTTGCTTTGTACTAGGCATTGTATTAAGCACATTACTCTTGAATGAAGAGCCCTGCTGGTGTCATGCTATTAAGTGTTGGGTTGCTAACTACAAAGCTCGCAGTTCAAACCTCTCAGATGTTCCTTAGGAGAAAGATGAGGTGGTCAGCTCCCAGAAAGATCATGACCTTGGAAAACCCTATAGGACAAATCTACTGTCATACAGTATAGGTTTTGGGTTTACTTTGAAGACAAAGGGAACCGTGGCAGTACAGTCTTTGGCAAAGCGTGCTGCTAGCCCAAAGGCCACACACATGTTTGGTGGTCAGAATCCACCACTGGCTCAGAGCAATAAAGGTGAGCCACCTCCTCTCATTGTGATATACAGCTACAGAAACTCAATGGGCTGCCTTAAGTTGAAACTCATTTTATGGCAGTGAGTTTTGAATAGAAAAATACTTATTTTCCAGGATCATGTGGATTAAATAATATACCTAAACTTGTATGTTGTGTGTGTTAAAGAAAAAAAACCCCAAAGAAAACAACCAGTGTGCTTTAAACAGTTATAACACTTCTATAGTAAGTTCAACTTTAGGAAAAAGAATCATTCACTACACTTCATTTAAAATAATAATCATATCAGAAGTCTGAGGTTTTAAAAAAGAAAGAAAAATAAAGTAGGCAGCAAACTTACCTTTTAAAAAAAGGCTATAATTTAATGAGTAAATAAATGAAAATATGCAACAGTCATTTCGATAAACAAGCAGACCAATTAAAAAGATTATAAAAATCGTTGAGCACACACATCAAATGAAGTCCCTTTATTGTAATAATTTGGGAAACAAATCTCAAGCTGAAAAATTAACAAAATGCACAAAATTACTGGTAGAGACAAGACTTAAAATCCAGTTATATAGGGGAGCTCTGGTGGCCTAGTGGCAAGGAGCTACAACCACAATCCCAGAGGCGAACGGTTCGAATCCACCAGATGCTCTGCCGGGGAAGAAGGGACAATCTCCTCCTGTACCAGTCAGATCTGATTTGATGGTGTACACACACAAAAATAATACAAAAAAAAAATCCAGTTATATAAACCCCTCATTCCAACTGCTTCTTTATTACACACATACCCTCAAGATAGAAAACTAGAATGGTGAGTGAACTGGACTTAAGCTAAGAATACTGTTACATAAAACTATTTTGTAAAACTCAGTGTGAAAACTTCAGTGAATCTGGGAATAAGAAAGTGACAAAATAGTAAATATTATTCACTTCCTAAATAACTTGCTTCCGGAAACTCTATGAACTTTGATAAATGTCAATAGTTGTAGAGGGGCTTCCAGCTTTTTGTCCACAAGGTGTCGCTATGAGTCATGCTCGACCCGAAGGCAATCAACAATAACGTTCACTTAATCCACAAAGTTCTTTCCTTGCTATATCTACTGGACTCCTTACTCCCATACCTTTTTCAATATTAAGTGTGCCTCAACTTTTAAATCAGAAGTAACTGTGTTTCTGTGATTCCTAGCATTTCATCTGTACTTCTATTAAATCATGTATTCTGTCCTATTTTAAGTTATAGGTAACACAACTTCCTTGCTAGACATTATATTCCCAAAGAGCATATTTAGGTAAAGTGTCTGGCAAATAGTAGAAATTCAACTACTTAGCTATTTTTCTGTTTGCTTATTTTCAAAATAAATTTCTTTCTAAATCAGGAACTAACCTATGACACTTGATGTGGTTCCACCTGGGCAACCTACTGTTGAAAGGCAAGGACCATTATTTCCAGCACTTGAGACATAAATAATATTATGCTTCCATACCGCTTCATTAATTACTTCACAAATTCGTCTGAAAAGAGAGAATACCTTTAAATATATAGAACTTGTACACTTTTTTAATTTTTATTATACATTTTATTTCTCTTACTTACTAATTATAACCCTTCACTTAAAATTTATAGTTATTAAAATATTTAGCCATAGACACAATTCCTTTGTCCTAACACATTGCTCGTTGTTGGTACAGATTTTCAGGATATATAACAACAAATTTATATTAATTTTTTTTTACATTTTCAGTGTTTTTCAAACTTTTACATTTTCTAATAAATACAGTACTATAATAAGAAATTTTTCTCTAATATAGTATATATTTAAAAGATAAATAAATGAAAACATGAATTCCCAGTAATAAAGTGAACAGCAGCTATAAATACAGGTGCATACATTAGAATCACACAGGGGTTGCCCTTAAACTACAAACACTAAGCCTCTATTTTCAAAATGTCCATAATGCCAAAATACTAAGTCAAATTATGTATTAGTGGAATATAATCCATCATCCCAAGTGAAAGCTGGGATGTGTGTGGAAAGTTAGTGTGTGGAAGGAACAGTGAAATTAACTGTAAGAAAAATGCTTGATACCAAAGTGAATATAAGCGAATAAATATATTCTAAAAGAACTAAAAGAAAATATTGACAAGAAGTTTTATTTTCATCATTCATTTAAAACAATGTATTCAGAAAAGATTTTTTAGGTGATTCCTATATATTTGTGATTACAAATTATGGGACAAAAATCCCTTTTATTGTAAAAGTGAATGATAACTTTTGAGTAAGATTTTTAAAAATAAGAAGTCTGATCAGTAACTTCCTGACAACAAACAAGAAAGATGTACTGACACTGATAAAAGGAAGTAGGTTATTAAGAAGAGGCAAACAGAGTCAACATAAATAAGGCATATAAGAAAAGGAGACTCCAAAGTCATACAAGTGAAGACTATCTGGGTAAGGAAAGATGAGAAATCAAAGACGAAAAATGAGAAGGTAAATCAGATACTGGAATGACAACAGAGGGTGAGGTGACCTTTAGGGTGACTGCTCACAAGAAGTGAATTACTAATTTTCCAAGAAAATTAGTTGTATGTGAACAACAAACTACACAATTTTGCCTGGTAAAATTTCCTTTTGAAAAGACTTTGTATAGAGAGCTTAAGAAACCAGAATGACAGTATATTTAAGTGATATGGAGGTAGGAAAGGGGGAGTAACAGATTCTATGAAGTAACTAAAAACTCTCAACAATATCATCTACCAATATATTGGAAGCTCTGGTGGCTCAGTGGTAAGGAACTGTGCTGCCAATCCAAAGGCATGCGTTCCAATCTACTAGCTGCTCCATGGGAACAGGATGGGCAATTTCCTCAAGGTCAATTTCCTGCTTCCAAAAATCTTCTGAAGGGTCAGCCATGAGCTGACTCCAACTTGATGGTACACACCAACAATATTAATTTTTTTTAATTACAATTTACTAATAACAAATTTGCTATGAGTTGAGGTCATCTTGACAACATATAACAACAATAACAAAGTAAGTAATTTCAAGTATACAGAGGGCAGGAAAAGATAAAGTTGGAACTACCAGTCTCCCCAGAGGCTCCTCAGGAGAAAGGCAGTCAATCTACTTCTGAAAAGGCAACCATTAAGCTCTGGTGGACTAGTATAGAGTAAGGTAGTGCTACTCGGGCAGCATCTCTGGTGGTTTGAATCCTCCAGTCACTCCATGGGGAAAAGATGGGGAATCTCTTCCCCTCCACCTTTGGGAGGCAACTTATGGCTTCCCAAAAACCTGCTGGAGGGTCAGCTATAAGTCAGTACTGACTCAACAGTAATGAGAGGGGGTTTTTTAGGCCTGAAAACTCTAGAGAGCACTTTTCAACTGTGAAACACATGAGACTGCTTGCCCCTCAAGAGAACTTACTCCACAACAACAGTTAGTGCTATTTAACTAGCTTGAAGCCAGAGACATGACAGGATTTGAAAGCAAAGACAACATGAGAAAGGAATGGAATAGAGAAGGCTATCAAGACAAACTGGAATACATTTAGGAGATGGAAACAGAAGAAGTGAGAAAGTGAATATACATAACTAACAAGTATTTCTGGAAAAGTGAGTATTAGAGGAAAGTTTTGTTTCAACATTACAGACACTAGAGCATGTTTGTTTGTATTCTACTAATAATCTAGGAAACAGAGATGATACCAGAGAAAAATCTTTGAGAAAAAATAAATGAATGGGCTCCAGAATACAAGTGTTCAAATTGTTTTGCACTGTGTACGCTTCATCCTTTACAAAAGAAGAAAGTAGAATCAGATGAGACAGCAGGAAACTAAAGGACCAATCCATTCTAAGTGTTTTTAATTTTCTCTGGAGTAGCTTAAGGCATAAGCTAAAAAAAGAATGTTAAAAGAAGATGGTAAATGTATTGAAAACATTTATATAAGGAGGTAAAGGGTGAAAATAGTATGATAAAAAGACAATACTCAATGAAAAACTTAGCACTGGAAACCAAAGAGGACAATAAAACTTGAAGGAGCTGCAAGCAGGTATGAGACTCACTCACAGCTGGCACACTAAAGTGCTGGGGAAAGAGGAACCTGCAATTTCCCTAAAAAGAAACTACTCCAGTTGGGAAAACTGATCACTGGGATCACTCCCCAGGCTAGAAAAAGAGGACAACAGAATTTAAGAGAGGTGCTGAAATAGGTGGGAGACTCATCCCCACAGCCACACACTGAGGTACTGGGGAGAAAGGGGCCTGCAACTCCCTTAGAGAAAAACTACTTCGGTTAGGAAACCTGATCACAGGGGCCACTCCCCAGACCAACAGAATTTAAGAGAGAGGGCTGCAATCAGGTGAGAGACTCACTTTCCCAGCTGGTACACTGAAACACTACGGAGGCAGGTGCCTGCAACCCCTCTGGACAGAAACAGCTTCAGTTGAAGAATCTGGCTTTATCACTTCACAGGCCAAAGAGGACGATAGACTTTAGGAGAGAAGGCTTTAATAAGGTGAGATGCCTGGAGGGCTACAATGCAGATCAGAGAGGACATGAAGGACTTCCAAAATGTAATACCTCAGATTAACAAAGCAAAGAACAAGAAGGACCTGGTCCTATCAATTGATTCAGAAAAGGCTTTCAACAAAATCTAATACCTCTTCCTGATTAAAACACTCAACAAATAGAAATAGAAGGGAATTTCCTCAATATAGTGAAACATATATATATAGGAAAAATCAAGAACCAAGATCATTCTCAGTGTAGAAAGATTAAAGGCATTCACCTTGTGAACAAGAGCCAGGCAAGGATGCCCACTTTCACCACTCCTATTCAATACTGTTTAGGAAGTACTTGCTAGGGCGGTATGAAAAGCAAGGTAGTAAGAGGCATCCTGATCGGCAAAAAGGTAGTAAAACTGTCAGTATATGCAGATGATATGATAGTGCCCAAAGAAAACCTCAAGGACTCAACCAAAAAAAGTTAGGTCTAGTAGACCAACTTAGAGTGGGAGGATACAAGACCAACATGAAACAATCAGTGGGATTCCTCTACAAAACCAAACGACAACACAGAGAATGAAACAAAGAAAGGTATGCGGTTTGAATCCACCAGATGCTCTATTGGAGAAGGAGGGGCAATCTCCTCCTGTATAGTCAGATATGATTTGACGGTACACATACACAAAAATAATAAAATTAAATTAAATTTAAAAAAAGAAAATACCATTTATGATAGACAAACACAGAGGCACTTGAACTAGAGATGCAAAAGACCTTTACAAAGAAAAATATAAAACACTACTGGTGAGAAACAATAAAAGACCTAAGTAAATGGAAAAACGTTTCCTGCTCAGGAATAGGAAGATTAAATATAGTGAAAATGACAAGCCTACCAAAAGCAATCTACATGTTTAATGTAATCCCGATTCGGATGCCAAATTGATTTTTCAAAGATATAGAAAATTGGCAAGTTTATTTGGAAAGAAAAGAGATCTCTGAATAACAAAAATAAAGTGGAAGGCATAGCACTTGCTGATCTCAAAACCTACTACACAGATGTAATAACCAAAACAGCATGGCACTAGCATAATAACAGACACATAGAACAATGGAAAAGAACCAAGAACCCAGAAACTAACCCATCTATTTATGGTCAACTGGTATTTGACAAAGAAGCAAGCAAAAATGTAGCACTGTGGACATAAATTTAAAGTTAAATGTCTAGTCTTGATCAGGAAAGCAAAACTCAGCTGATCAAGCAGAGAACATCACTGAAAAACACACATCAAACAGTCTGAGATCTGTGAAATGAGTAATTACAATGACCGGCTCATATTTAAACTGGTTAGGAAGGATTTTGTGGGCCTAATAAGGGGGAGGGAGAAATAAAACCCCAATAAAACACATGGGTCTATGAGTTGGGATTCTCAAATTAATAGGATAAACACTGCAGACAAAAGGAAGTTTTAAACAAAAAGAAGAATGTCTAATTTGAGATTTTAAGCATGATCAATAATTAGAATTGGCAATATCAAAGCTATGACCATTAGAATGGGGGGGTCTGAGCTTTGGGGGACAGGCAGCTATCATCTAACTATTGAGCCTGCATTCATTTCCAGTTGTGACTTGCAATAGTTGTCAATCTTCCTCACTTGCAGTCGTGTGGCTATCCACCAAATGATACTCACCCAGAATTCGGCCAGTGAGTTGCTTCTCCATAGCTGTAGTTGACAAGATCACACTTGTGATTTATAGCTTCTATCATCTAGTAAGAAGATTGGAAATAGAGTTTAAACAATCATTTAAAAAAAGTATCTTCTTTTCTCTCTGTCACTGCTGTCAAGTTGGAAGTAACTCAGAGCTGGTCCTTCACTGGGTTTCTGAGGCTCGAAATTGCACAAGGGGAGAGTGCACATCTTTCTCTCATGGAGCTGCTGGTGGACTTGAACTGTCAGAGTGGTGTGGCCTTTAAGACAACAGAACCACTACCTATGTACTAGGTCACTAGAGCTGCCTATAAACAGTCAGTAAAAAAAAAAATAAATAAAAAGGAGATAATATCACTTTATAAACCAATCACATTCTAAATAAAATTTAGAAGTCACTTTTGCTTGTGGTGATAAACTTGAGAGGAAAAAGGTAGATCATGTAAATACTCAAAAAAATTTCAGCATTGTAAAAAAGAGTAGGGAGAAGGAGGAAGAGGTAGAATAGAGGAGTTTTTAACTACATTTTACAAATAGGAACATCAAAGTAAAAACACAATACATGTGTTAAAATGGAGTTGAGCTTTAAATTTTTTTTTCAGGTTGATGAAGCATGTTAGCTGAGAGGGTTTTTTGCTGGGCTGGGTTGTTTTTCTTTAATATTCAGAATTAATCCAACTGTATTTTAAAATAAAAAAAAAAATCTTTACCAATACAGTGAAACCGAAAACTGACATAATTTTCTTCTTTCTTTAAACAGACAACAGTAAAATACTACAGTCTGCTCACTACACACAAAAGTCAGGAACAGCAGCTTCTCATAAAAGGTTTCTACTATCTTTCCGCTTTATTGATGCCAAGGACTTAAAAGAGAAAAGGTACAACAGGATGTAAATATTATCTCTTTCTCAGAACACATTAATAGCTGTACATCTCACCCAATTACAGAGGCATCTAAAAATACAAGTATGAAATAAGTTTTTATAAATTTTAAAAAAATTATCCCAATAACCAAAACAACTATGAGATATCATCTCACCCCAGTAAGGAGAGCAAAATATAACAGAACAGCAAGCCACAAATGCTGGCGAGGATGTGGAGAAACTGGAACTCTTATTCACTGTTGGTGGGAATGTAAGATGGTGCAACCATTGTGGAAGGTGGTGTGGCACTTTCTCAAAAATTTGCAAATAGAGATACCATTTGATCCAGCAATCCCATTACTGGGAATATACCCCAGAGAGACCATGTCTGCCATCCAAGCAGATATATGCACACCCATGTTTATTGCAGCTTTGTTTACAATAGCAAAGAGTTGGAAGCAGCCTAAGGACCCATAAAAAATGAATGGATAGAGAAGCTGTGGTATATCCACACAATGGAATACTACACAGCATTGAAAAACAAGGAACTCATGCAATATTATTCAAAGTGGGTGACCCTGGAGGACATTATGCTGAGTGAAATATCTCAGTCACAAAGGGACAAATACTGCATGGTGCTACTGTTGAAGACTGGGTCTGACATCAGGGTTGGAGTATAACAGAAAAAACTGGATAAATTATGTACATTGTATTGAAACAGATGAGGGAAAGAACAGATTAGAAGTGATATATGATTGAGTATTATGGTTAGCACAGGAATCCAGAATTAAGGTTGCATAGAGAAGCGTACTCGGGGTGGGGGGTGGGGGGAAGGGACGTGGGAATTGTATACTAATGAAGGAATTTTTTTTCTTTCTCTCTCTTCGGAGGGGAAAGTGAGCTGGTGGGGAGGGGTGGGCAGGGAGAAAATTGCGGCAATGAATGAATGGAAATCCAAAACCTCTGTAAAAAAAAATAAATAAAAAATATAAAAAAAGAAAATTATCCCAATAACAATGATAAAAACCATACTATCATCCTCAATTATTTCATTCTTTAGTAAAAATCTTGATTCTTGTTTCACTGTTGCATTTAACTAACTGTAGTTCTTTCTATACAACACCTTCTAGTTTAATTTTAAAATAAATAAACAAGCATTAATAATTAAAATAGTCTTTCTTCACTTTTAAAAAAATGTATTATTAATTTCAATGAACATCTACAGAGACTTTGGATTTCCATTCTTTCATTCTGGCACTTTTCTCCCTGCCCAATCCTCCCCCTCAATACACTACCCTCTTGGAAAAGTAATAGAAAAATCCTTTCATTGTTTTACAATCACTCCCCCCAGGTCCACTCCACTATGCAGCCTTTGCTCTGGCCTCCTGTCATGCCAAAATACCTAATCACATATCCCTTTTAAACCATTTTCTCCCTCATCTGTTTCAATGCAGTATACATTATTGAATCCATCTTAATCAGTCTCCCTGAACCCCGATGTCAGTCCTGATTTACAACAGTGGCACCATGCAATATTTGTCCCTTTGTGACTGAGATCCTTCACTCAGCATAATGTCCTCCAGGGTCACCCGGGTTCCTTGTTTTTCAATGCAGCATAGTATTCCATTGTGTGAATATACCACAGCTTCTCTATCGATTCATTTGTTGATGAACAATTGTTGTGGTGCTCAAGTATTTCATAAATTCTGGATATAAGTCCCTTATCTGACATGTCATTACCAAATACTTTTTCCCAATCTGTGGCTTCCCTTTTTACCTATTGGAGAAGTTTTTGAACGTGCATAGGGATTTGATTCTTAGAAGGTCGCATTCATCTATTTTATCTTCTCCTCGTAGGTAAAATAGTCTTATATACTAAGTGCTGTTTATCCTGTGTTTGTTATGACAGGAGCCCTTTCTGAATGTCAAAATACCTAAGGCCATCATCATTAATCTTCTAAATGACTACTCAGATGTACTCACCGCTCTGATGAGGCCTGTGCCTGTTTCCATTGTGCTGAGTCTTGTGTCACCAATCTTGATTGAAAGAATTTGAGCACCAGGAGCTACCCCATTCCGTTCAGGTTCGTCTGGAAAATGTCCAGCTGCTATACTAGCTACATGTGTTCCATGAGCACCTAATGAAAAAAAGAGAGTGAGGGAAAGAATGAGAAAATGTTCTCATAGGACGAAAAGTTTGAACCATTTCATTCAATTTGTTGTTGTTGTTGTTATGTGCCGTCGAGTTGCCTGCGACTCATAGCGACCCTATGTACAACAGCCCTAAACTCCACTCTGTCCTGTGCCAATCGCACTGTCTCTGACACTCCCATCCCAATTATCCTAGTCACTGAATCAATCTACCTCATAGAGGTCCTTCCTCTCCTGCGCTGTCCCTCCACCCTCCCAAGCATGATGTCCCTCTCTAAGGACCGGTATCTCCTTACAACATGTCCAAAGTATGTTAGACGGAGCCTCAGAATCCTTGCCTCCAAGGAACCACCTGGTTTAACCCTCTCCAGGACAAATCTGTTTGTTTTCCTAGCAGTCCATGGTATTCTCAATACTCTTCTCCAGCACCACAGCTCAAAGGCATCAATTCTCCTTCGATCCTCCTTGGTCATTGTCCAACTCTCTGATGCATAACAGGTGATTGCGAAGACCATGGCCTGTATCAGACACACCTTAGTCTCCAGAGAGACACCACTGCTCTTCATCACTTTGGAGAGGTCCCTAACAGCAGACTTTCCCATGGCAATGCGCCTTTTAATTTCCTGGCTGCTGGTGCCAAGACTGTTGACTATGGAGCCAAGCAAACTAAAGCTGTGTACAATCTCAATCTCTTCACCATCCATCCTGATGCTGCCAATTGGTCCAGTGGTGAGAATCTTTGTCTTCTTGACATTGAGCCTCAATCCATATTGTAGGCTGCAGTCCTTGACACTCTGCAGCAGGCGCTTCAGGTCCTCCTCAGTTTCAGCAAGCAGGGTTGTGTCATCCGCATAACGCAGATTGTTGATAATGACCCCACATTTTTCCTCATAGAGCTCAGCCTCCCGGATAATCTGTTCTGCATATAGGTTGAAAAGGTATGGAGATAGGATGCATCCCTGGCATATGCCCTTCCCAATTTTGAACCATGCAGTGTTCCCTTGCTCTGTTCTGACGACTGCCTCCTGGTCCAAGTATAAGTTTCGCATTAGAACGATCAAGTGTTCTGGGATTCCCATTCTTCTCAGAGTCAGCCATAGTTTGTTATGATCTACACAGTCAAATGCCTTTGCATCGTCAATGAAACACAGATAGACATTCCTCTGGTATTCCCTGCTTTCAGCCAAGATCCATCTAACATCAGCTACAGTATCTCTAGTACCACAACCCCTTCTGAAACCAGCCTGGACTTCTGGTAGTTCTCTGTTGATGTGCTGTTCCATTCGTTTTTGGATAATCTTCAGTAAAATCTTGCTTGCATGTGAAATCAGTGAAATTGTTCTGTAGTTTCCACATTCGGTTGGGTCGCCTTTCTTTGGGATAGGAACAAATATCGATCTCTTCCAGTCAGTTGGCCAAGTGGTCGTTCTCCAGATTTCTTTCATTAAACATAAATTTAAGGAATGTAAACATATACTCAAATCTTAACTATCTTATCTGACCAAAAATTCAGAAAAATTAAAAAATTCTCTGAATTATATGTATTAGTCAGCTACCCCTGGATTATATAATTCCCTTTCTGTGTATTTCATAACATTTGAACAATAAACTAACCAAGTCCCTTTCACTACTTATTCTGTGGACATAGAGCTAGACAATAATATGTAACTAGAAAATGCATAATTATGGAACTACTACAGCATACAAAATCAACAGGCACTAAAACAGAACCCAGTTACGATGCTCTACAACAAAAGTGAAATAATCTGTCCACATAGTGAGGTAATGCTGGTCTTTTCAATAACCAGCCTGGAATCAACTGGGTATTGAGAGGGAAGCTATGTATGTTAGATCACATAACAAAAATACAACCCCTCTCATGGCACAGCATTTACATTAGTGATATTAATGTGAAAGAAAAATAATGCTTCCAATACATAAAGCAACAATTTCATGATGCTGTAGCAGTCCACGATTATGTAAACAAGACATAAAGCAAAAGCCATAAAACAAAACTGAATGAATCATATTGAAACTAAATTTGAGGCACAAGTAAGAACATTAAAAAGAAAAAGTCACAAGAAAAGTATTAAAAGAAATAAAATTGACAAATAAGTATATGTATAAAGTATCTTCCAAATGAAAAAAGAAAAATGGGTAAACCACTTGAAAAAGCATTTCGCTCAAAAAATAAATGGCAAAACACATATGAAAAAATGTTCGACATTACTCATTTAGCAAATGCAAATTAAAGCCACACGAGAAACCTCTATACAATTTACGGACCGGCTAAAATTCTAAAGGCTGAGAACAACTAATGTTAATGAAGATAACTGTAATATGGAAGCTGGGAGACAACACTGGTTTTCTGGAAAGTCAAACACAGGTACACCCTCTGGCAAGCAATGTCACACCTACCTACATACTCAGTAGACATTTACCTACATTCTCAGTAGACATGCATACACTTATATACAAAAACATTAATGGTAGCAAAAATTTAAGCAACTCCAAGATCCTTGAGCAATCAAAAATTACTCAAGAATAGTAAGTTGGTACGTGGTATGTTAACAGAATTGACTTATTACACAGCAATTAAATGTGAACTACTTGTCTTTTAGATGAATCTCACAAAAATAATAAGGGAGCTCTGGTGGCCTAGTGGCAAGAAGCTGCACTGCAATCCCAGAGGTACGCAGTTTGAATCCACCAGATGCTCTCTCTGCTGGAGAAGGAGGGACAATCTTCTCCTGTACCAGTCAGATCCTATATGATAGTATACACACACACACACACAAATAATAAAAAATAAAATTAAAAAAAAATTGAACTAAAGAAGTCACACACAAAGGGACAGATAATAAATGGTTCCATTTAGATAAAAAAAAATAATTTTGGTTTTAACTATGTGAAACTGTCACTATTAGATCACAGATTACCTACAAAACAGGCAATTATTACATGGTTCAAACAAATGAGCTTAATAGGTAAGATGTTGCTGATTGCCATTGAGTGGAGCACCACGATAGCGATCACGTGAACAAAAGGCCTGAAGCCTTTCTAGAACTATCGTCATTTATCAAAGTTCACAGGGTTTACTATTAAAGTCAGGATAGTAGTTAATTTGTGGAGGAAAAAGGCTGAGTAGTAATTAGGGAACAACAGTGGTAAGGACTTAGTAATTTTTTCCCCCCTTGACCTGTATGGTGGCTACAGAGTGTTTACTTTTCAGTAACTTGGTGAGAGTACAATTTCATATTAGTATATGAATAAAATACACATACTCATGTGTATAAATAAAATACACATAAATAAAATAAAATAAAAACAAAATATTAGGCCCTTTTTTTTGGTAAAAAGTATTTTAAACAGTACAGGCACAATGCTAAGTGACAAGTGATATTAGCACTAGAATAGTTGGAACTCTGGGAGACATGGAAGCACATGATCATTCTAGGTGGGTTTACTGCAGTGCTGAGACTCCTCTGCTCAATCATGTGCTGTCATCAAAGACTATGAACCAATGGTGCTAATTCTTTATTTTTTTTATTTTCTCCTGAAATCCCACACTTACTGTCAAAAAAAGAAGAAATGCTAGATTATAATGTTATTCCCTCTCATGCCTGAAAAATACCCTAGACACTAATTTTTGTGAAAATTAAGTTGATTGACCATACCAAGTATTGGCAAGTATGCAGTGTCTGGAACTCTTACACGCGGCTGGTTAGAGTGTAAAATAGTGTATGGAGCCACTTTGGAACAGGTAGTTTCTGTAAAAACCTAAGCCTATAAATATTACACCCAGGCTAGGGCACTCTGGTGGCATAGTCTAGAGTTCAAATTCACCAGCACCTCTGAGGGAGAATGGTGGGCAATCTCCTCCTGCGGAATTTACAGTCTTGGAAACCCTCCTGGAAGGTCAGCTGAGTCAGTTCTGATTGGATGGCAAGGAGTTAAGAGTTTATACCCATACAATTCTCCTACGTATCTGCCTGGAGAAAATAAAAACCTGTGTGAAAACAATCCAAATATCCCCATTCATGGATGAATGGATAAGCAAAGCGTAGTATACCCTTGTTATAGATTAAATACTTGAGATTAATGTGTAAGTATATGCAAATATCTTAATTTTACTATGTTATTCAACAGTATAAAAAACATAACTTTTAAAAAATAATTAGTCTTTTGTTGATGAGTGATCACAGAGTTTCCAGCTTTTTGAAATGATAAAGAACATCCTTTTGTTTTTCCCTATTCATTCTTAAGGTAAAAAAAAAATAATATTAGTAAGATGAATTATATTGATTTTTTTTTTTACTACACTATTATCCGGGAGCTGGGGCTCTATGAGGAGAAAGATTGGTGGACGATTTATCAACAATCTGCGTTATGCGGATGACACAACC